GAAGAGAAGAGAAGAGAAGAGAAGAGAAGAGAAGAGAAGAGAAGAGATCTGGAAGGGATCTTGGAGGTCTTCCAGTCCAACTTTCTGTTCAGCCAGGAGAACCAGATCTCAGACAAATGGCTGTCCAGTCTCTTCTTTAAAATCTCCAGTGATGAAGGACTCACAACTTGTGAAGACAAACTATTCCACTGGTTAATTGTTCTCACTGTTAAGAAACTTCTCCTTAGTTCCAGGTTGCTTCTCTCCTTGATTAGTTTCCACCCATGGTTTCTTGTCCTGCCCCCTGGTGCTTTTGGAAAGTAAGTTCACCCCTTCTTTGTGGCAGCCCCTCCCCCTCCCCACCTGGAATACCCCTAGTCTTCCTTTTCTCTAGTCTAGCCATACCCAAATCCTGCAATTGTTCTTCGTCTGTTATAGTCTCCAGGTTTTGAATCATCTTAGTTGCTCTTCTTTTCACTTTTTCCAAAGTCTCGACATCCTTTTTGTAACAGGGGGAGCAAAACTGGATCTGGTATTCCGGGTGTGGTCTTACTAAGGGTTTTATTTTAGGGTTCAGGTCAGAGTGTGAATCACTGGGGCTTATTCTGTGAGTCTAAACTCAGTGTCTTTTGTGGGAGCCAGTCTCACAGTTACTGCCACCTCCAAATCACTCTGATTTTAGCCACAATCCAAGAGCTGAAGCATTGTGGGTTAGTAGCCTTCACAATTTCCCAATCAAAGGGATTGTCAAGGAATATTAGAAGGATTCACAGGACAGAAGTGGTTTATACCAGTGACTCTTTCTGTGGTTTCAAACACAACGTGTTCAAAGAGCACTTAGTGACGTAAGGACTTGTCAAGGGCTGGGAGTACTGGGTGTCTTTAACAAAAGAATAAAAACATGTTTTTGAAACTGAAATCACTCTATCAGCTGGGTGAGATCTGTTCATTCAATCTTCACAATGCAGCAATCAAATGGGCGAACAGTTGCATCCCTTGTAGGAAGATCAAATGCATTAGCTACGAGCAAATATGAAAGGAAGTTCAAGATAATTTGGAACAGAAAATGCAAATGGCGGTCTGTTGCAGAGCGCAGAAACAAGTTGTTATGGGTCAAAAACCACCTCTGGAGAGATATAATCTATTTCTGTAATGATCAATCCAGATGTTGAGCCAAATTCCTGCCTTATTAGCCAGCTATATTCAGCCTGCAAGCCTAGGAATTCTCCATGGTCCTGACCCACAATCACTGATTTATTACACTCTGCCCAAGAACAAGCTACCACTACTAAGCCCCTCCCCCCATAAAAAGAGGAAAAATCCTGTAGCAATTTTTGTTCTTCTAGAAAACCAATATCAGAGTGAAAAGGTGGCATTTCAGATCTTGGTTTAAAAAAAAAAAACTTATTTCAAAATCTCCATTTTTTTTATTATTCAACTGTTATTCAGCAATATACAATACAGTTTATAAACAAATGTCTTACCTTGTTTCCAATCTTTTATTTTTTTTTCTATTTAAAAATAAATATTATTGACAGTGAATAGCCATCACGGTAACATGTGCCTTTTTTTAAAATCAATGTTTTCAAAAAGAAATAATTTAAAAAGGAGTGCGGAGAGGGAGGCAATGATAATAATAATATTCCTAACCACAAGTATCTATTAAAAAAAAAAAAGAACCTTCCTTCAGGAGAGCTTTGCCTCTTCCTGTTCAACAGTTCGTGCAAAATTAATTACCAGAGGAAAGATTTTTTTTTTAAAAAAAGAAAACAATTGCAAAAGGAAAAGATAAAATTATAGCTATCTTGTGTGAAATAGGGCATTGATGCCACAGGATCTTAAAACTAAATTTATCATGTCAGGTGACAAGCCTTTCATGTAATGTCCCCAAAAATATGCTTTTCCCTTCCCCTGTGGGATGTGTCATGCTTCCTTTCCAGTCTTTCTCTGTCCATCTTTTAAGACTGTAGTTCTTGTTGAGGGTTGTTGCCTTGTTCATTTTGTTCTCGTCGTGGTCTCATCCATTTGGCTGAGGGTTATTGGATAAAGAAGTCCATCAGTGGTTTAATAACAAGTGTACAAGCTTATGCAGCATGAAGAGGAGCGTACAGAAGAATGTGTGAGTGGCATAAATAGGTTCTGTACCTAGGGAAAAGAGAACGAAGGAAAATATCAGAGGAGGGAAGGAGAGAAAAAAACGAAGTTTAATTGGAAATTATTGGCACAGCATTTAGGGCAGAATTATTGGTCGATTACCTTGTTGTGGTTTGGAAGAGAAAGGCATGGAAATGATAGAGATATAGATAGAAAAAGAGATAACAGAACAAGAGAGCTGGAAGGGACTGTTGAGGTTTTCTGGTCCAATCTCCTGCTCTGACAGGAGATCTTATACCACTTCAGACAAATGGTTGTCCAATCTCTTCTTTAGAACCCCAAGTGATGCAGCACACACAACTTCTCAAAACAAGCTGTTCCACTGGTTAGTTGTTCCCACCATCAGGAAATTTCTGTTTAATTCTAGGTTGGATCTCTCCTTGATTAGTTTCCACCCATTGCATCTTAGCCTGCCTTCGGGTGCTTTGGATAATAGATTGACCCCCCCTCTCTTCCCTTTAGATATTGGAAGACGGCTATCATGCCACCCCTAATCTTTATTCTCATTAAAGTAGACATGCCAAATTCCTGCAACATATCTTTAGACACTTATACAGTCCCTTAATCATAGATAGATAGATATGGAGAGAAATTGAGAGAAATAAATAGAGGTAGAGGTAAGAGATAGAGTGGGATAAAGATGGTAGAGATAGATGTCTATGGAGATTCTCAGTCATCCAGGTCATGGTTGTCCCAAAGGTGCTTTTCCAAGAGGCAGTTGGACTTTTTGTGTTTTTGTTTGAAGTCATTTCGCTTCTCATCCAAGAAGCTTCTTCAGCTTTTTCAAGAAGCAATTGGACTTTCTTGTTTTTCCCTTGAAGATGTTTCGCTTCTCATCCAAGAAGCTTCTTCAGCTCTGACTGGATGAGGGATGGGGAATTGAAACCAGTCAGAGCTGAAGAAGCTTCTTGAATGAGAAGCGAAACATCTTCAAAGAAAAACAAGAAAGTCCAATTGCCTCTGGAAAAAGCACCTTTGGAAGATGGTAGAGGTAGTGATGGGATGTGTAGCGAGCTAAAACACCACACAGTAAAAACCAGACATGGCAATATAGTGTATTCAGCCTAAAAACAAAATTATACACTGTAGGCCCATCCATTCACCATCCTATAATTTGGAGTCTAGAGATGCAGATGTTTCACAATGAAGAATTGTGCAAGGATCCATGAAGCCTATTGGAGACAAAGAACACAGCTGGAATGGTGAGAATTTCAGATCACTCCAACCATTCATAAATTGGTGGGAGCTTCATCACTTGAGACTTTCAAGAAGAGATTGGACTGCCGTTTGTCAGAAATGGTGTAGAGTCTCCCGCTTGGGTGTGGGGTTGGACTAGATGACCCACAAGGTCCCTTCCAACTCTGATTATCTGTTAAATTACCTGTCTGTATGTGCAGGAGATTTGATTATAGGTAATCCTTGTTTAGCAACCACATTGAAGCAGCAACTTGACTGTTAAGTGAAGCTGTTGCTTAATGAAACCATGGCCATGTTTATGACCAGACTTCACCTTTGCTTTGCTTTATAGGTCTACAAAATGGGAAGGTTGCTTGTAAAGTTACTTCTTTGTCGCTGCTGAATCTGCAAATGGTTGCTAAATGAGGCCATTGCTAAACAAGGATTAAGCGTATTCACAAAAATTGCTACTGCAGTGGGCATGGCCCGTCAAAAATCATCAATTTGCCAAAAGGCACAAATGCTTTCTAAGATGTACTACACAGCCACAAATTCTTCCTTGTTGTCTTTCCCCTTCCTTGTAGGGAGGAGGGTTTAATTCCAAACCAAAAGCCATTTTTTGTTTTGTTTTTGAGAATGCCTCCATGACAGATGCAAAGCGATTCTTCAGATCAAGGTAATACGAGAGGCATCTTGCTTTTTTTTTTTGCAGCATCTCAGATTCCCTTTTAATTTTTATTTCTAATTAAAGCAACCTTTTAAAAGCAAGAAGGGAAGCCAGGTGACACAATGTGGATTGCATTGCCTGCCACTGGGTCTAATTTAAAAAAAAAAAAGTTGGGTGAAATTTAAGATCTCAAAAGCTTTCTGCCAAAGGAAAGCAGCAGGCTACCTGATGGTGGCGCTAGAGAGCTACAACTTAGATGGACAATAGGTCATTTGCAATAATATACATGACCCCTAGATGGCAGAAAAGATACACAAAACCTCCAACATTGTGGGTTCTCTGGATTTTTTCCCCTAGGCCACATTAATAAATCCAGTGTGGCAGAAAATCAGCTCCTAGAAGCTTCTGATTCTTACTCCTATCCTTAAAATTTGGAATGACAAAGAATGGATGATAGATAAGTAGATGATACATATATTTAGATAGATGAGAGAGAGAGAGAGAGAGAGAGAGAGGGAGGGAGGGAGGGAGAGGCAGAGGGAGAGGGAGAAGGAGAGGGAGAGAGTAGATAGATGAGAGAGATACTGTAGATGATAGATATAGATAGATGATATAGATATATATTTCGATAGATAGATGAGAGAGATGATAAATAGATGATAGAGATAGATAGATAAACTGAAATATACAAAAATAAAACAATTGGCTATTTTTAAACAGCTAGTTCTTAGAATAAACGAGTCCCTACACCCTAAAGCAACTGATAGGATTGTGTCTTTTTAAAATATATAGAACTGAATTGGCACTGAGCTTCCAGGAAACTAAAAGACAAGATGGCTTGATTCCAGCATTTCTTGATTAATAGGATGTGAACCAATGTTGTCTTTGGCTACGGGAAGCAAGATTCACCTTGACAATTTCCATTATAGGAAGATAATACATTTTTCTGGATAGGCTATACATATACCAAGTTAAAAACAAATAAACCTATATGGGATAAATAAATCTAGACATAGGGCCTCAAGGACAATTAAATAACATGCGAGTCAGTAAGCACAAAATACAGAATGCTGGCTAAGATAAGCCTTTGGCTGATGTGGTACGACTTCTTTATTGATTATGTTCCTTGGGGCAACATACATGTTTCTAATCCTTGCCAACTTTTATGCTCAGAACTCCTCCAAAGTCAAGCTGTGAAAATGCGATTAGCCTAAACCACACCACAAAATTCATCGCTGGGTAAAGGTTAGAACCCAAAACTTTCCAGTCTTAATTCAGACCGTTATTTCTACACTTTTCTGCTTTTGTATCCCATTCATTTTTTTTTGATGAAGTTGCCCAGTATCTGGAAAAGACTTGTCTGCAAGGGAATCTGTAGCTTCCAACATTTGGACTCTTGTCAACCTTGTCAAACTAGTTAGTGACCCATTGCTCTATTTCAGTGCAAAACAGTTTTTTCATAATCCAGTACATGGATGACTTTATAAGTAAGAGTAAGACTGCAGTATAAGGAAGACCAGGAGCCCTGGTGGCACAGTGGTTACAATGCAGCATTGCAGGCTGCAGCCAGTAGTTTGATTCTGACCAGCTGAAGGTTGACTTAGCCTACTATCCTTCTGAGGTTAGTAAAATGAAGAGCCAGAGTGTGAGAAGCTGACATTGTAAACCATCCAAGTGCTATAGCTATTGCTAAGTTCTGGATTTTCCTTGGTTGATAGTTCATCTCAGCTCAAGGGAAAAGAGAGAGAGAGAGAAAAGAGAGAGACATAAAGAGAGATCAAAAGAAAGAGGGGGAGAGAGAGAGAAAGAGAGGGAGAGGGAGAGGGAGAGGGAGGGAGAGGGAGAGAGATAAAGAAAGGGGCAGAGAGAGAAGGAGGAAAAAAAATACTTTCCCTCTCGTTGCTGCCTTTGAATGTTTTTATTGAAAAAAAAATCTGTCAATCGATATCACTCAGTTCCAAGTCTGTTGCTCTGCTATTAGATTTCAGTACAATCCAATTTGCAAAAGTTTTCCAAGAAGCTCCTGGCAGGAAGACAGCTAACCTCCTTTGCTCGTGGGCAATTTTTAATTAAAAGCTTTGCATAATTTTTGACACTGGTTGCCCTTCGGTGGCTTGGCTCTGTTACCAAGAGAATTGGAGGATTTGCTTCAACTTCCAGATCTTGTTTCTTGGTTTGTTTGTTTGGTTTTTTTTAAAAAAAAGCTAACCAGCTTTTTTTTTTTTTTTTTTAAAGAAAGCTCACTTCTGGCTTCCTGAATCCAGAAAAGCAGAAGGAAACCACTTTTGAAGATAATACAGGTAATCCTTGACTTACAATTACAATTGTGCCCAAAATTCCCATCTAATTCCAGGAGAGGTTAGACTGGCTCTCTGGAATCTCTCCAGGGAGAAGAGTTTGACAAATTGGCCTGCAAAAATCAGGTTGATTCCCTAGATAGCAAACCCTTTGTTTCTTTCTACTATTTCTGGATCTTTCAGCCCAAATACGGCAGCCTTGGGGTTGGCGATCTCTTTTAAGTCAATAGGCCATCAGGAATCTAAATGCCTCTCGGTTGTAAGCAATGTCAACTTCGAAGAAACATAAACAGCTTTTTGCACCCAGTAAACATTTAAGATGGTTTTAGGATTAGGCCTAAAGGAAGAGACTAAGTGAATCTTGACAGAATTGGAAGAGGGGAAAAAACATGAAATGACTTCCAAGGTCACCTTCCCCACTCTTGGCAAACGGGAATTTTTCTCACACCATTTATTACTCAACAAGAATCGGACTGATTATGAAATGAAGATCTGAGCACAGCCATGAAGATCAACCAGAATCAATGACAAATGGTTAGCTGGCTGTGGTCTAAACTCATTTCAATGCTTTGCCACAAGTGTCAAGACTGTTACGAAGGAGATACATGCTGCACATTGTCAAAATGCAGGAACATCAGCAAGGGATCTAATTTCCGAAAACCTGTCCAAGCTAGTCACTAAAAATAAGTCACCTCTAAAAAGGCAGATCAAGCAAGAGAGAGAACACATTTCTACAGAAAGTGATGCGCTGCTTCCCAATTTCACACAGAGACTAGAGCAATATTATGGGCTCAGATTCACTAGGTGAGCAATCCAGGGAAGCGTTCCTTGCTGATGTATCAAATGTGCTT